AAGCTTGTTAGTTACATTGCATGTATCACTGACTTTTTGAATCATCTTTGTCTTTTAACAGCTTGCTGGACTTCCTTTTTCTGTTACAAGTTAAAGGTGTATCAGCCATGATTTTTACCAATCGTCCCCCAATACACTTCAACTTTAGCAAGGTCAGTAGACTGAGGCAGTTACTGCGTTTAAGTAAATATAATTTGGTTTGACGAATAGGGATCTGCTTGCTTCCACATTGTAGCTCAAGCTTTAGTATTCTTACTTCATGAAAAGAAACATGCATTCTTTGGGATAGAGAAATTACAGGTCTCAGGTGCTTTATTTGGATTAGGTTAGCTTTTAAAAGTCTAGGCGTTCTTGTGGCAGGGAGAAGCGGGATTTGCAGAGCTGTACGTTCAACTGTCCAGCATGTTTTTTTCTCATTTGTGGTGCCTGGGTGCAGTCACATCTTCGCATGTGTACTACTAGTCTTAAAGTGAGTTTTTTGGGAGTTTTGTCACCAGTGTTAATTAGGTACAGACAGGGCTTCTGTAAGATTCACTTAATTAATGGAATGTTATAGTAACATGGTATGCTTGTATAGAGGGGATTCTGGGTTCCAGAGAACCACATTTCTCAAAACCTCCTCGTTCATCAACAGTTACCAAGAGTGTGGTGCAAGCTATTTATTTAAAGCCCCAGGAACTGGCCATGGTGTTTATCATTTCTATAATTAAATGTTCAACTTTCTTCCTCTCTCCTAATCCTGCTCCTTCTACAGCCACGGTTTCCCTTCTAAACCTGCTGGTACTAGCCAATAGGTCAGACCTAAGGACAATCCGCTTTTGCATGGCTTGGCTACATGTTACATACTTGGAACGTTATTTTAACAGGGGAAAAACACAAAGATTAATGTAGTTGACAGGCAGACAGATTAAATACTAATATCCACATGATTATTTAAATTTCAGACCTTTACAAATATTTTATACTAAATAAAATGTTCTTACTACATGTTTAAAGTCGGTAAAGAACATGGAAGAAGATTAATAAAAGTACCAGATTACTGAAAATCCCGCTACCTAGGGACCCAATGATTTTTTTTATTCAATTTTTTTTCTTACCCCCTCACCCACTGGAAAGCTTTCTGTTGTCAAGCCAGCTGTCCCTGTTCTTGAGCGATGTCAGTGCTATGCTGTGATAAGCTTTTTTGTAGAGGTACTGAAATACTTGTATGTGTAAATGTGGAACAAGTGAAGATATGATTTCAGAAATTGCGCAATAATTAAAAAAGCAGCATGCAAATTAAAACAGATAAATTAAGTGAACTAGTTAGTAATCCCTAGAAAGAGGAACAGTAGGTTTTAATAGGGCATGACAGCTGCAAATGAGTATGTCCTATTACTGAGATTGTATCTGTAAGAGTTCCTATAGCAGTTTTGAACTGTTTTCTGACCTTTTGTTTTATACTGTATATTCTGTAAAATGTATGCCTAACTGCAATTACACAAGCAGGTCTGAGGTTGTGGTTGTTATTATTATTTATGTTTGTTTACAAATTAGTGCCACAGCTGTAATAAGGCTCACAGTGCGCATCCTACATGTCAGCTGCTTCTCAGTGCCTGAAATCCCAGAATAGGGAATAAGCCTATGGGTAACACAACTTGAGTAATTCTATTGAATGTAAAGGTAAGGATTTCCTCCTCCTTAGACTAACTGGCTGTTGCAAAAACCACGACCATGCTACATGCAAAAAGCACTTGGATATCTGAGAAAAGTGACTGGTCTATGGCCCCAGCCAGCTGCGGCACTCGGGGAAAACTCAGAAATAGTAATGTGTCTTTTGGGTGTAACTACAGCTTGAGTCCACACATCAATTGGAAGCAACTGCTGCTTCCTGCAGCTTTTCAGACAGAACAGCATGCGTGACTCATGTCTGTGGAAGTATGATCAAAGCTGAGAGAGAAATAATTCAATAGAGTCCAAGCTTTAGTCAACCTTAAAGACATGCAAGGAAGAGACATCATATAGAGAAGGCTTATTTATCATTTATACAGTGCCTTAGATATACATGACACTTCACAGGCAAATACAGTCCTTGCCCCAAGGAGCTTACAAGCTAAATTAAATTAAAACTAGCCAAAATGACAGCATATCCATAGCTATGGAAAGAACACAAGGTATGCAGACAAAAGTGCTGCTTGGGGAAGGAATAGATTTTTTGTGCATAATGTATATTTACTTCATTTTCCATATCCTGTTTGGGACTGCTATGATCGTGAAATACAGAAGCTGACATACCTGACTTGTGAACATTGCAAGATATTTTAGCCTATGTTTCCTCAGAGGTAAATGTATCAGTAAAATTACGAAATCCTATACTATGTACCATCTGTGAATCAAAACTATCAGGCGTGGGTAAAAATGGCATTTAGCTTTTCCAGATGAAAATGCCACATTATCTGCAGCGTGTAACCATTAGTTGATTGTGTGCTCAGGATTTTCCAAAGTGTGTCACAAATGCATGCAAGAACAAGACACTGTGTGAACATTTCTCATTTGGGAAATGTGCAAATTAATCTAGCCTGCAGACTGCATTGACCTATTTGTTTATGTTTTTTTAATATATATAAAAAAATAAAAGCCAGACCTCCCAAAACAAGCTACTGATGAAACTGTAAGCAAAGCAGTTTTACAATACATTTACTATTACAGTACATTGTTTTATGCTTTGTTTTAATGAAACAAATTAAATTATCTTAGAATCGGTGATACATTCATATTATCAGCTGATAGATATATAATTTACATTATAATATATAAAGAAACAGCACAAAACAAGATTGTGTTCTTGCTGCACTTCACTCTTCCAAATATTGTCAAGATTAAAAAAAAAAAAATCCAGAATACTATCTGGACATTAAATGGTCTGAAAAAGGGAACCGCTGTTAGTTTTTCCCCATGTTTCTCTGTCCCCGGTTGATCATGATTTTCTATTAAAATGTATCTGAGGGAGGCCTGGATTATTATGTGCTGTCATGCATGGTTTTTGGAAAATTACCATCTTTGAAATACTAGACTTTTGGCAGGGTTTTGTTTATAACAGGATTTTAGTTTTAGAAGTCCCAGTGGTGGATGAAGGGGTTTTTTTGATATAGGAAAGATCTTCAGTCTTCTGACATCCTAAAGACACTAGGTATTTTGACAACATCCAAGGGATGTTGGGTTTTTTCCTCACTGGAAATGCATCTCTATCCCCAGTCAGCTCTTCCCAAGGCATGACTTGCCTACAGTTGTAGTTTGTCAGTGCTTCTGTTAAAACAGTCAATCTCTAGCCTCTCAAACCTAATTCTTGCAATGCTTCTATGAAAGGAGGTTTAGCAAAACATGAGGGACAGGATTGTAGATGCAAATTACGTGGTTCTAGCTGGTCCTTGGTTTAGGCTCAGTTTAGTAGTCCATTAGGAGTGAAAGATTACGGTGTACTGTGGTGTTTGCTACTGAAATCCCTAACTAGTGACCTTTGAGGCTAGTATTTTAGAAAACCTGGCCTTTTAATTAAGAAAAATATTTAGTTGCAAGCAGCTGATTTGATGTGTTGTGCCTAAATTCAGTTTCTGCATTTATATGACAACATAAAGGGATTTCATTAGGTTATAACCAAAGTTAAAGATCACCATCCATGCTGCTTCATTCCTTTACCTGGATCCATGGACTCTCATCTGTGCCATGTTCAGGGAGCAGGTGCTGTAACTGAGCCTCAGTCAGGGAAACAAGATGGATATAATATAACATGGACTTTATTTCCACAAGAAAAATACAATGTGCTTTTTTTCTTCAAATAACTGCTAAAGCTCCTACTGAAAACAGCACACACAGCATGCTTTCTTCATGCTTTGAGCACCATCTTAGCTTATGTACATAGGATCTCTCAAGAGTCCTTTATTACCTTAGTGACAAAAATCTATTTATTTCTTAAACACTGTATGTGAATGACCAAGTTTTCCCTTTATTCTTTCCCATAAGTTTATATCCCCAAATGTGAATGTCTAGAATGTCCCAAGATTAGCTCCTACTACTAAATTTTTCAGTTAGATGCAAATTGTGGCTCATTAGTGGGAATTTGACTGCCTCTCCTAACAGGAGGGAAAAAAGGCGGTGGGGGGGAGGGATAGTACATAGCAAGAGCATGAAAAACTGTCCTTCACCCTTGCTTCCAAAACTTTGAAAATAGCAGGCTTGGTAACCTACAGGTCTTCTGCATGTGTATGTGAGTACAGTTCACTCAGTTTCTCAAACTTTGGTCCCCACTCTTTAATGTCATCATACACGATACCCTCATCGAGTCCAGAGGAGCTCAGGGTACTCAGACTGCTAGCAACCGAGCCTTCTCCTTCGGTGCAAAACACCTGCAGCGAGTCCTGGGGCACAGCCTGGGGGTGATGGTCAGCATCCCTGACAACATCTGACAAGTACCGACCAAAGTCTCCGCTAGTAGAAGAGGTTTCCGTAGTCGCTGATGTTTTGGTCTGCTCCTGCATGCTTGGGGACGCATCACTAAAGAAACTGTTCAGTTTTGTTGGGTTTTCTTTCTTCTTGTAGAGGAAATAGGCTGGGCTGGTTTGAATCGACACCTGCAGTTCTGCCATGTTGTATGCATCCTGGAGTGAGAAACCGTTCACGTTAAGTTAATATTCTCTATAGGTCCCAAAACTTCATGTTCTAGTGGAAATAAAGAAGAAGGAAATAAAGGCAGTCCATTTGGTGTGAACACATGAAGGACTGGCTTGTTGAACCAACTCTGCCACCTACAATGTGCCTAAAAAAAGCAAAACCCATCAAGCAGATGAGAATGCATGAGGAACACCTGTGCAGCCTGCACTACTACAATTAGGTTCTAAATCAGGTCTAATTTTGTATCGGAAGCTGAATAAAAATTACAGAAATGCCCCGATTTTTGTTCTGAAATTCAGATCTGAGTATTTTTTCATCATTAAATAGTGATACTGAGTCTGGCAACAAAGGTGAGAAAGGGTATTCCTGTTAAAAGACATCTTTCTGCATTAGTAGTTCAAAGATCTATTGTGATTTCTGTTAAAATTTTATCAATCTGTGAAAAAATTGCTAGTTATGTTATATGGGATTGGCATGATTGCAAAAGCCAAGTAATTATCTATTACCAAAAAAAAAGTTTCCCTTCTAGTAAAGCAGCAATTAATGCTGTCTGATAATTGTGCCACAGTTCCTGAAGTGCAACTTCTGTCACTAAACCTACCAGTACCGTACTTGTTAATTGCATTAACTGATCAGAATCTTTATGCCAGCTGAAAGAAAGAAAAGAAGCGTTGTCCTACAGCGTCCTTCACCTTCCTACAATCCAAAGGTTGTGACTCTGGACTTATTTACAGGCAAAAGAAGAATGTTGACAGGCTGTGTGAGACAGAATTCATTAGAGCAAACAAGTAATTATTTGTATTGCTCATGCTATTCATCTCAATAGTAGCCATCAATGACAGAGCTGTCAAAGCAGCACATTCCGAAAGATTACATTTATTCTCTCGCATGCTGAATTGCATTTTATAAGAGATTATCCTAGGTAATCTTGGTGAGCCTTTGCTGAATTTCAATCGGAGACAGAGAACTGCTTCAAAAAAAAACCCCACCTGCAATCAAGAAGCCACCTAAGTGGCAAGACTAGGGTTTGGGACAGGACTGTAACATAGAATAGCTGCTTATTTCCATTCATCCAGAGAGGGAATACTGTTAGTGACGAACAGTGTGAGACCCACAGCACTGATGCCTATCTTAGGCATGTTCTAAGTCAGTGTAACCTACAGTATGATCCCACTATGAGCATTTTATAATAGCATGGCTACCAATATAATCAATAAAACATGGCAACTTTTAGTCGTACGGAACTTAAATGGGAGTTTGTCCAAATACAGATTTAAGGATCATCCCTTCGGTGAATGGGGTGATATTAAAATCATCCTTCACTGCTATTACTTGTTCATTAAAATGACACATTTCTTTGATTATATACCATTCTTAGTTGGCAGGCTACAAACCCAAGTCGATCCTTGCCTCTAGCTTCAAAGCTGGCTTTTAACATTTAGTGTTTAGTTGCGTTAAGTATATACTCAACAGTGCTCTAATCTGCTACAATTTTTATGAACTCTTAATTTCTCTGAGGGATAGTTTTATTTATTTCAAGTGCAGAAACTCCTTAGTAAGACAACTTCTTGTCCCCATAGCCCTACCCTCCACTAACATTACAAAGACAAAACTCTCTTGTCCAAGCACCCTTGTGATCCTTTTGTTAAGGTAACATTAGAATACAATTAAGATATTGTAATTCTGGGTACTTTGTTTTTTTTTAAATCTAGACAAACAATTAGGTATTAAAAAGGATACTGGAAAGTTTTAGCTGCAATCCCAGCAACTGTAAAATTTGAATAATTTAGGAACAGTATACAGGACCTGTAGAGGCTTCACCCCAAGCAGCATTTCTTCAAGATAGAGTAATAGCCTCAGATGAAGATCATCAAGTCACTAATTTGATTCCACTGCTTAGAATAAGGAGTGTATTTTAAGAACTCTCCAAAAGTAATTAAACGTGTCATACAGTAACTGTAGATTTCCTCAATCTATAGACCTTATGGATGTAAAATTGCAAAGTATTGCAGAGGAAGTTAATCTTATTAAGGAAAGCAGGATTTATGCATATAGCTGTCTATGTTATCACATGGAAAACGTTCCTGTATTTATTATGTTCACACTAATTCATCAAGAAATTAAGGATACTTTACAAGTGTGAATATTTTCTCAGGTGGCCTTGTAAAACACACTGTATTTTATAACTAAAAATTCTTGAAGATATTTGGAATTTTGGGACAGGTCACATTTAATTTTTTTTTAAATCACTGGCTTTTTTTGATCCATGACATTAATGCCCTGACTTATTACTTCTGCAGAGTCACACCACCTTTTGAATCCATGAAATGAACAGTTTCAAAAGGCAGCAATGAAGTTCCTTACCTTTTTTAAACACAGCAAACATCTGTGGGTCAGCAAATAATATATTTACGTTACTCATCTATAATATCTGCAAGTTTTCTTTCAAGGTTCTGGCTTAAACTGACATGTAGAAATCCTTAAAAGAGCTAGCAGAAATGTTAGTATTATCTGGTCTACTGTAAGTATAAACACGGCTTGTGTGCACTAGTGTATTTCTCTCCAAAACAGAAGAATGCAGAAAGGTTCTTCCACAACAATGTGCTTTAGGGCTTAAGAGGAACAAATGTAGCACCTCAGTTTCTTAACAAGTTAAGTCTGAATAACTGCTGTTACGAACAGTCTCCAGAAAGAGACTGTCCGTAACAAACCGTTCATGTCAGGCTCTTTCAAGCCCTGTGCTACAGCAGTAATTACCACTGAGAACCTCGGCGGCTCCTGAATCATGAAACCAAAACCATCAGCTATTAGTTCTTTACTGCTAAACTCACTCTACAAGCATTTTTAAATATGCACATAGGATCACTTGCTTTAAGATAAATTAAAAATTGATAGGCACTTATCTCCGCTTAAGAAACATGCACCCTTGTGTACATAACCTTGCAAATAATTCATCTGCCAATGGCAGTAATGAATCAGCAGAACAAAGGCTAAGGTCCTTGGTTACAAAGGAAAAGCATAAACTACATTTTCGTTAACATGGTGAGCCACCAGTCCCCTCTTAATTGTATGTAACACAATGATCCTTACTTGGTCTTGTTCCCCACCCCCTTCTTCATTGTAGTTGAGGATATTTTCTCTGATGTCCTCCAAATCCTCATGATGTGCAGATACGTGGTAAACTCCTCCGTTCAGACCTTTGTGACTCTTCCAGCGAGCCCACAAGAATACAGCACTGAACAGAGCTGTGTAAACACACAGGAGCAAAACAGAACATAATTCAGAAACAAATAAAACATATATATACAGAAGTGCTGCAGGATGGCTTAGACAGCAGCCGTTCTACACGAATACTGCAGCACTGGTTTGCAGACAGAGCCAGCAAGGCTGTAGTGTTGTGTTTCTCAGCAAATGTTTGATTTTTGCACTCTTCAATGTAGTTACAAGTGAACATCAAAGACAGAAGAAAAGGCCTTTAAAGAGCAGTTTAAAATACCCTTTAAAGTAATAACTTTGAAGTTGTTAAAAGCATAACTAAATGAAGAACTGAATGACCCAAGTGCTGTTCAGAGACTTGTCTATTTAAAGTATTGAGTTAAACTTTGTAAGAGAAAATGTATACAAAGGAGTAGCACTTAAGTAACAGTATGTTGACAGTAACAGATACAATGACACAGAAATGAAGCACAAGAAGACACCAGACAAAAGAGGAAATGACTTACATTTTACTAGAAAAAAAAATGAGGCACATTTTGCCTTAGCATCCATGAATTTAAACATCTTTCTTAAAAGCTTAGGTGCATTTTACACACTGACAGTTGTAAAGCTTCATCATCAGATACTGAACATTATGTAAATAGAAACTTGTGTACCACTGTGTTACCAACTCTATAAAAATTGATAAAAGCTCATAGTAAGACCTCAAACCACTGGATACCGTAAACTAACACCGTAGTGAATTAAAGAGACTAGAATGTCTTACAGAATATCTACACGGCAGAGTGCAGTTGTGTGGAGCAGCATCTAGGTGCCCTTGGGACTGAAACTGGTGTACGCGGAGGTCTATGCCCTGCACTGTGCTGTGTAGCTATACTCTTCAAGCCGAATCAATGCCTTTGAGATGTATGTTTACCTTTCCTCCCCCCATCCCCCAAACTTACAGAAATGTGTCACATGGATTTTCACACATGGTAACTTCTTGGCAAAGTCATTTTTTACCTGAGGTGATTTTGAGATACTCAAGAAGTCTTTTAAATATTCTACATCTCTCCTATTCTTTTACTCTGACTGCTAATAAAAAGCCAATACTTAAAATGAATATAGCCCGTGTGCCAAGAGTGTAACAAGAGTGTAAACCAGAAGTACCCCCACTGAAGATAGTATCTCCTCCATACAGAGACCAACGGTGTAAGTTCCTGCCTGATTTCCTGCTCAGGATCTTGTGATCCTGAGTTGTCATTAAACAGTGCTGTCATTAAAAGCGTTCTATGACGTTTATTGTTTCTTTGATCCATAGCATTAGTGTGAGAGCAGTTGCAAGCTCCAAAGCATCACTGTGTCTTTAACCGATCAGCATGAGCTGAAGTCTCCTCCTGGCAGGGAACGGTGGGGAAGGTTCGTGTGATACCGAACTGACGTGAAGCCACCCAGGTATTGATTTACTTACAAAACAGTTCCATATTTGAGTTTGAAAGATGTAATCAGCTTTTCTAATCTACTGGAAACTTCGAATTTATAATTAAAATTGCATGAATTAATCACTTTTAAGTGCATTACCACTTTCTGGAAGTTCTGTAAGAGAAAGGGCATTTGAAATCTTGAGAACAAGTAATTTTATTAAAAATTCTCCTAACAAAAGTTGCAGTTGTGTGGTAATACCATGGTTAACCACATCTACTAGATTTTTCACAGCAATGCATACCACTTCGTTAAAAATAACTGTTTCTAACTCATAATTTAGACCTGAAAGACTAGCAGGATTATTAGGTAAAAGATATCATTGTTTTTTCAGTCAAGCACAGACAGCAACACAAAGTCAGCTCACAATAAAACTGCTCTGACACAGCAAAACCCCCCTCCTTTAACATAACGATCTCTTACCAACTTCCACTAACTGGGATTTCAAAAGCTGTGAAACCAGTTAGTTTCCCACATTATTTGCTGTTCGTATTTGCATGGCAAACATAGTATCTAGCAGAGTTGGGGAGCGTGATGGTATTTCAGGTAGCTACAGATAGATGCAAAATAGTCCATAATACATTTTCATACTCTTACTATGACTTCTGAATGAAACTTAATTAACACTGTAAAAACCATGAGAAAAATCCTATGCCTTACTCAGGCAAACTTCCATGAAATTTGAGTAAACGAGGACTCAAAGATGTGATCCTTCCTCACTAGTGAGATCCTTCTTTGTCTTTTCTCTTCTTTTTGAGACCTAATGCCTAAGCCTGAAAATGGCTGAGGAAGCCAAAAGCAGCTGTTAGGAGCTGTGACACAACTGGTGAGATGCAAGAGACTGCTCCTGTCTGACCAAGTCTATTCCTGTCTGACAGTGTATTTCTCCTAGACTGAAAAATCTGTCTCATGCTCAGTATTTTAAACAACGCTCCTCTGGTAGCAATTTCCACTCTTGCTGTTCAATTGAATTTGCTTCCAATTATGCATCTGAGCAGTTCCTTAGCAATGAAGTGAAAATGTGCAGAAAATAAAACTGCAAGGACTTTCCATTGCTTACAAATGTCGATTCACTTAGCAATATGTGCACATGGGGATGAAAAGAAAGTTACTGATGGAACTGAGACCATGGCAAAGAAATGAAGGCAGAGTCAAGTCTCCATTAGGAAACTGAGTTTTTCAGCAGAAGGATGAGATGACGACTATTCAGGACAAGACGGATAAATGAGTTCACCAAAGGTAATACAAGATGTAGTTGCCATAACTACCTAACAGCGCCAGAAAGCAAATGCAGATGGCAAACATGGAACTGAAGCTCAGGCCTGTATCCTTGTGAAAGATTGCCAGTGTGATTTCACAGTTACGTCCAGTATAGCCATCAGGGCAGTGACATTGGAACTTGGTTGGTGACTGCGAGATGCAGGTACCATAGTTACAGGGCCTTTTAGCACATGCAGTGTAGACACACTGTCTACCAGTGGCATTCTCCATGATCATGTGTCCCGGAGGGCAACTGAAAAGACGAAGGCAAAATGAAACCATTAAACTTTGAGAAAAGTAGGCATGAAACACAGCATTTAAGATTTTAAAACAGTCTTTGATGACACTCTACATACAGTTTGTGAAGTAGCTGCTAGAAGTAAGTTACTTAGAATAATTACAGGATTGTAGTCTTTTCTAAAGCAGTCACACAACAATGAGCTCCACAACTTCAAACCCTTACATCTGGGGCTTTCAGAACTTGGGTAGTTCCACTGGCTTCTGCAAGATTACCCATGTGAAAAATGGCTGGATTAGGGTCTGCAGTTCTGTCTAGGCAGGACAAGCTATGCTATGTTCTTTGTGTTTCCATCACAGTGAATTTCCAGAAAAAAAATACATCTCTAGAAAACTCTGTTTGTGTGGACAGTGGCAGTCAGTAATGCTTAAAGTGTACATTTTCACAGCATAACTAACTTGAATTAGTGTTGTCCTAACCTCAGCCCCAGCCACACACAAGAACTCTGAGCTTAATGATGCGGTGCTTCTAATGCAACTCAAGTGGCCTGTAAGGGAACAGAGGTCACAGCTCAAGACAGTATAAGAAGTCAGACACTTACAAAAGAAAGCACATCTACATTGCACAGCACAAGCTTCACAGGACAGCTAGCCATGCTAGTGTTCCACTTCACTTGAGCTAACACACCCTCTTTTCCTGGTTTTCAGGGTTTACAAATATTCTGGATTTGCTGCTATTCTTTAAACATTTTCAATGAACACAGGCAGCTGAAATTGTTACAGAATCAATGGAGATAGGCTGATTTACACCAGCTAAGGGTAATGCCTAAAGGGACAGTGTTCTCTGAGTAACCTGATGCCTACGCAGGCATCTAGCTTAGCATTTCACTGTGGTTTCACTGATTTGATGAGATTGCCAGCAGCAGCCTTCAAGTTGCACACTTCTTCAGCACCCACCCTTTCCCACCTGAATCTGGAGGGTTTTGTGCTTTTATTTCCACCAATTACCTGCATTCATGCATCATCCACAAATCAATACATATAAATTCCTGGTTACAAGGGTTATTCCTACAAGCCTCTGAAGAACAGCCTTCTTTGACGCCTTGGGCACTTAATACTGACACCAGCTCCTTCACACGAGTATCCAGAGGGATCCTGTAGTTGTTAAATCTGACATCCTTCATACATCCTGAGGCAAGGCACAAAGAGACTGTTTTAAAAGCCATTCAGCAAGAATGATTTGAAGCAGCTGTTAAGATCTGGCGGTTTATGTTTAACAAAAGACCCAGGCTACCAAAGTTTAAATCTAGCACTGAATTTACCTAAACTTTCACAGCATTGTTCTCCATTTTTTGACTAAATTTGTTAAAGTTTTGATCAAGATTCCCAGTGTTTTCCACAAGAACCAAGTGCTGCTGCAGGCCCCTATCTGCTTGTGCTCAAGACAGTGGAACATGTACCCCTTCACTATGTTTTCAATAGAAAAGTCCAAATATTGTGGAAAATCTGCTATATGTGGAAAATCTGTTATATTCTTCAATGTGTACCAGTATAAATTGTGATTGGTTGATTTTTAATTGTAACTTACAACTTAACTTTATAGAAGAGCAAACCACCACAAATAACGGTGAAACAGCCTTGGGTCACTGAAGGAAATTTTGTACTGAAGATGTGTGGCATTAATTTTGTATGCATGAGATGCCTCAGCATAAAAGCATATACCTTGAAGAATTAAGTACATTTTATAACTTCAAAGCCCTTAAAGTTTCAGCTGCTTAACAGCAACATTAATTGTCCTAATTAAAATGATCTTCATGTAACCTTTTGACTTCTTTAATCCATTTACTTAAAAACAAATACTATTACTATCATAAACAAAAATTCAAAATACGGTCCCTAGTTCTCAGCATAAAATTTAGTTATTGGAATACTTCTAGTGAAACAACAGAAAACAATCTTTTTCTAAATAATTTGTGATACACTTATGTTGTAAGTTGTTATTCTATTTAATGCATATACATTTTATACGTTTTCTCCTCGCACTTTTGTTATTCACTGCAATACTTTTATCTCGTGAAAACATTACCACCTTGTTTCAAATGGATTTATTAGAATCTGGTTAAAGAGGTGAAAGGCATGAGAGAGAGAGATGATAGACAGATACCACCAGAGAGAGGTGATAGACAGATACTTTGTCTGTATTTAACAAAGTAATGGTGTGTATGTCTTCCTTGTCAATATAAAAGATGTGCTGCATAACTGTGCATTGCTTATACTGTGGTTTTAGGCAAAGGGTGAGCTGCCAACTGAGGACAGAGTAAAAAGCTGTTATGGATATCTTAACCTTACGTTTCTCTATATTTCTCCTTTGTGTAACTATTCAATTTCCAGGCTGAAAACTGATTTGTTTTTTAACAATTTTAAAAATTTAAATTGTTGGCTCTAATTCAATAAACCATTTCTAATTTTAGTTAATGCTTCAGCTGAGTGACTGTAAAATCCAGTAATACAAAGGTAGTGCATAAAGGTAATAAACCAGAGTTTGTTGTGTGCTATGCAATGTATGTATAAAATGGAAATACTCCTTTCAGCATAGGGACAGTTGCATTTGGTAGGGAAGGAGAGCTGCCGAATGGACTGGATAGAACCATCCAATGAACCAGTTCTGTGTATCTAATGCAATGAGCCATCCACAGTTCACCTGGGAGAAGCTTGTGGATCTCCACTTACAAATACTCTACATACAGTCGTGTGAAGAGGTTACCATCTTTGTTCCAAATCCAGTAGCTGACAGTATTTGCACATAATTCCCTGCTGTACCTTTTTTCTAGTCAGAACGGTTATTTGTCCCTTTTGCAAAGTGTCATGCAAGAAATCTGTTTTCTTTGGGCTCTACGTAAACAAGAAAGCTTCTCGCAAAATGCCCATATAGTACCAATAAACCTTCATTTTTACAGGTCCATATTCTGAACAGTGAGATCAAGAATTCCTCACCTTGAAAACTCTTGTTTTGATTGAATGGGTAGGTGTTTCCAAGGACCAAGCTGCTGGGGTCAATCACAATCTCTTTGTATATTCCTGCT